TATATATATATATATATATATCGTATATTGCCTTTAAAATGCTACAACTTTATAACTACAATTTTATAATTACACTTTATAAATCTACACTATTTATAAAATCATCTAACTCAAAACAATAATATTTAAAAGATAAAGTAAGATAAGAAAAAATAAAAGAACATGGAGAAACATAAATTAATTGAGCAGAAAGATAAGTCCTAGTTATAAGACTCATATAACTCTCATTTATAAATTATGATAGAAATAAATTAAACAATTATTATAAAATGATATACCTTTAAATAAAACAATTGACTTATAATGACTAATTTAATCAAGTATTTAATAAAACAATAAATTTAATTTATAAAATATATTATTTTATTTTTTATTAAAATATTTAAATTCCATAAATATAAGTCACATTAGTGGCTATTTGTTAGGTATTGAAAATAAAATAATTCATGAGATTTATCCTAATCCAAACTACATGTATTTTAAATTTGATGTCTCACATACAATTCAAACAGTGAATTGAAAATTTTTCATGTAAAAAAAATGTATTTGAAATAGAATTTAATTAAAATTGGCATGAGAGTTTATTTTATTTTATTTTTTTGAACATTGGAGGTAGAACTCAAACTCCACACATGCTCACTTGCTAAACTTTGCATAAGAAATTCTTTACAAGAGAGAAATAACTACTAAACCACAAGAACATTCTCCTGTACGGAAGTTTAGTAAAAACCAAAAAGAAATACGTAGATAATAGAAGATTATTATTAACAGCAAGACCACCAATAAGAATTTGCTAAGTAAATAACAGAATCAGGTGTCTTCTCATTTCCTGTACCACCCACCTGTGAGGTTCTGTCTTGTCCTGACTCTTCAAACCTGGCACCAATGTTTCCATTGACACAGTTTTTGTCCTCTTAACAAAATGCCTTCACCGACTGCTTATTACAAACCCAACCCCTAAAACCAAATTAAATCACATTAGCAATTGGAGTAAATTCTGCACGATATATTGTTTACAAGGGCTTGCTCCATGCAGCTTCCTCACTTCAATATATGCAGTAATGCACAAGATGATCACAGCTTATTTTCCTAACTGCGGAGAGATGCTTGAGGAACAGTAGGTAGACCAAATTCATCCTCAGCCTGTTTTACAAAATATAACATTAATAAATAAATAAATAACAGGAGCAAACAAAAACAACAAGTCCATGCAGCAGTATGAATATACAAAATACAGGACAATGCATTTACCCGAGCATTGGATCTGCCAGCTGGTGCAGCATGTCCTGTAGGTGCTGAAGGAAGGTTGAGCTCTGCATCCAAATCAGGTTCCTCCTTGTCAGGTTGGAGATAAGAAGGCACTCCATCAGCTTCTCTTCCCATGTCCTCTTCTAGAGCATCAAGTTCTGCATCCCAGAATTAATTAGTACACATCGTCGACCAATGCAAGGAACATTTTGATACCAATTAAGGTCACTAGCAGTTCTTTAAGGGGTAAAAAGCCTGCAAATCTTTCAGTGTTGTGGGCAGTTAGCCCTTGAAGGTGAAATCAATGTTTTGCAACTTATCCACAGGGATTAACCATTAATTTTCAAATACTAGTTATATAACAAAGTTCTTGATCATTTCAAATCTTTACTTCGACCAAACTCAAAACTCAAGTGCAATCATATCTAGATGTAATCCAGCAAATAATAATCAACAACAATCTTGAACTTTTTAACAATTTGAAGCTTACCACCCATGAGTTCGTCCTCATCAATGTCGTCTGGCACATTATAGCTTCTACCCAAGGTCTCTTGAATTTCATTACTTACATCCATCAAGTCCATCATCTCATCTTGCAAGTTCTACAGATAAAAAGAATCACA